CCCCCCCCCGACCTCATCCACGCCAAAAAAACTAACCCACACCACCGCCAGGCGACCCAGCCACGCTCTCACTCCCACTCCCACGACCACCCCCCCTCCCGCACACTGCCAGGCTTAATCCCAGGACATTATTATTCTTATTATTAAAGTGGAATAATTAAATAATTAATAATAAGCATTAATAACTAAATTGCATTAAATTATTCAGGATTAGCATTATTTCCATTAATATTTTGTGGTTTATTACCAATTGAGAAAGGATTAAAAAAAACTTATCCGGTGCATTCTTACCGTAGAAATTATAATCAGAAATACCCTCCTTGAAACGAGAAAGGGAAAGCCACGCCGCTCATTATCAAATCCTKTAATCAYGCTGCTCATTATCAAATCCTTTAAATCACGCTGCTATCTATCGASCCTTTCGCCRCACTRTTGTCCCTACTGCTCCTTTCGTCACGCGACTTACGATCCCCAAGTGGGGARGGTACATGCTGCCCGAATTTCCCGAATTATTTMTCGCTCATCCTTCCCTGAAACAAAATCAGTCGATTGCTCTTGTCGACTGTATTAACTATCACTACCCTTGTCTATACCAAGACTGTCACTGCCAGGTATTCAAAATAGGAGGCGCATTTTCAGCGGCATCCCCAAGAGGAAAGGACAAATGCTGCCAAATTTTTGAATCCCGAAGAGAACGTCTATCTTGTCTTTAACATCCTTGCTGTCGCACTCACACGCTCCCCAAGTGGGAAGACGAAAGTGGGTTTTTTTTTATTATTTTTTTTTTATTTTTTATTTTTTTTTCCCAACACTCTGTTCTGGATCGGATTACACACTCCCTAAGTGAGGAGGCTCCGGGTGTCTAACACCACACAGCGACCCAGCTACAGGCCTACCTGAGGCAGCAACACTTCAACCAGACTGCTCTCAGCCTCCTAAGATCCCACCAAGCTAGATTCCAAACCAACGCTAGACGGGGGTCGAGGGGTTCTCAGTACCGGTGGGGGGGCTAACAAGTCCAGCTCTTAAATCGGTATAATCCCCAGCCCCCCAGCAGAATCCAGCTCTGAAATCGGTATAATCCCCAGCCCCCCAGCAGAAACTATCTGCTACCGGGTCTTAACGAGACGCTGGGCACACCAACCCCAACAGCCGGTACATCAGAGCCCTGCGCAACAGATAGGCCAAGGACAAGAAAGCCAGACCAAGCGGCCCATACACAAAAGAAAAGAGCAACCTGTGGGGACCATCAAGAAAGAAAGGCAAGGGAAATATYCAAGGGAGAAAAAGGATGGCARGAGAAGGAATGGGGATGGAAACCCAGAATTGGMTGGCAGAGAAGACCAAAGTGAAGATGACAAAAAGGACAGAGTTACACGACATTGGAARCGGGGTAAAGGAGGAGGTGGTGATATGGGAATATCCAAGAGAATCGCTGCCGTCCCTGGACGAGTTCTACTCTAAACATGCAGTCCTCTTCACCTTCTCCAAAAAAARMCAGGAACTCAACAGGGMAGAAAAGTTGAAATGGCTGTGGGAAAAACTGAAGAACATAGAACCGATCCCAGGAACGGAACCCAAAGTAACATTTCACAGCAGAGGAAGGAACACAATAGTGGTTGTCTGCAAAGAGGAAAAGCAGGCGGAATTCCTTAAGAACAAGTCCTTCACCTGCAATTCGTCAGTGGTCACAATCTACCCTTGGGCGCCAGCCAAAACAACACAGGCCTCCCCCCCGAGGTACCGACAGCAGTTGATGCAGAAGTACTTCTGGATTCAGTTCGATGGAATACGGGAGGG